CACTCTTAAAAGCCCTCAGTGGGCACCCTTACCGATGGAGACGGAAATCCGTGAGGTAGGTTGACGTGTGACATTTTTAGAGTCGAGCTTTTCTAACCCTTCCTTCCATGTCAGAAGGCAGCATCGCTGCAGATGCTGGCTGTCTGAGGGAAACACCTTACTGCTGTCACACCCTTCTACAGTCAGAAGTATAGGTTCACTCTCAGACCTTGAGTAGCTGTTTTTAGTCTCATCGTTCTCCAATCGGCCTGCGTGGCATGGTAGAATTTACGGTAACATATGTTCCAGCCAATTTAGCCCGGTTGGGTCATCACGATAGGCAAGTCCGACCACCACGTCAAGGTAGCTTCGGTCGGGAGGTGCATCTACTCTTTGTGTTCTCTCAAATTCTAAGCTTTTGAATTCGCCAACAGCTCCACCTTTGTTTTTAAAAACCTATCTTGCTCTTCTCCATAAGCAGTAATTTTTCTATCTCTACCACTATTGGATTCGAATTGACATTTGCGTCTCTGTTCTAATGTGGTATGGCAACCTGAACTGACGTACGAAGTTGTACGTTGTAACTGACTGACTGACTAAAATTATTTCTGAATGTTGATTCGATTGAATTTTTTTCGTTACGAGAGTTTCAGCATACTTTACGAAATTAATAATGATTTGACTGTTGATATGTGCAAAATGGGAAACTTAATACAGATATTATAGGTTTAACTTTCGTTTTTGATGGTGCAAAAACACATAAGAAGTGGCTCTCCTTACAAAATCAACTTTCCTCATTGTAAGTAATAAAATTTCATAGATTTGAAATTTGTGGCATACATGAAAAAGGTGCTTACAATGTACAAGAACATATGTATTAATCACTAGTAGTGACCAAGTGGTTGTAACGGCGAGACTGTAAAACAGCTTTTATATTGTAATAATACAAACCATACTTGAGAACATTATATAAAAATATGAGAAAAAAAAACATAAGGCACGAGAAATTAAGAATAATAGGTTACTTGATTTTCACAGCAAAATCAAGCATTCTACATTCGCTATCATAGCCGACAGATACTTCTAGCTGGAAATCAGAAACCTCAAAATTATGCGATATTTATGTAAAAGATTATTGGATATACCTACACAACGAATAAAATATGTAAGCTAACAATACAATTATACTTACATCAGTGGGACAGAATGCTTCGCTGATAAGTCCATCAGTAGGAGAGCGATGCGACCGAGTAACCACAATAATATGAGGTGAAGTCAATTTTTCTGCATTTTGGTCGATTGGATATGGCAGTTTCGAAGAAGGCAGCAGAGGAGTTACACCGAATACACCTAGACCTACAAGTCCCCAAACGACCCGAGTTTTGTACTGTAGTTCACCTGCAGTCATCGTTAGATTGGGTTTGTAAAAAGGTTGAGCGACAACACCACCCACAGCCTTTCCGCCAACTGAGATTCCGATAAGAACCGTAACAAATTCAACAAGACCCTGGATTCAGGAGCAGCATGTACATTGAGAAAGTTAGTTTTACTAAAGAATTCAAAACCATGTCTGAATATCTACTGTTATTGCATGGCTGTGTTTTACGTGATATAATGAATACAAACTAAGGAGATAAACATACTTCAGTAAACTCCTTTGTGCCATCCAGAGGATCCACCCAAACTACAATTTCCTCAAGTGATAAATCTTTTAGCTCCGGAGGACACTGGCATTCAAGGACAGCTAAGTTTAATTCAGTGGACTGAAGTACATTTCCAGGATCCAAATCACCTTCTTCACCTGTTTTTTTAAATTATAAAATAGACATTAAAAATACCAATAACATGGAGACCCGGGAAGGTTTCATTCAAGGAATGCACTATACATCGCTGAGAATCTCGATCAGCTCTGGATTGTAAATCATCAACTCCTTTATCAATAATCTCCAAGTCTTTGGAATCATATACTGCACGAATTAAACTGCAGGCTTTATCCGCTAAAGACACAGAGGCAGCAAGTATTTTCATAACAATGGGGGCTTGCATATTTCTTAGAAACGAAAAGAACGTGAATTATAGGCTGATAACTATGGTTACAAAATACTGCTACGGAATCAAGAAAAACAGTTTTTGAAAAAGTTTTGACAGCCAAACAGTTCCTGACTGAAGCAAAGCAACAAGATGCCTTGTGTATCTACCTGGTTTAGATCTAGAGTTGTGAATTACAAGTTTATTCGTCATAGACATATATATACAGGAATTTCTCATAATTCAATAGTCAGTTAATTATCAGGAACGTAAAAAATGGTAAAAATGTCCATAGGATCCAGCTGACATACAACATAACTGTGCCATGAAATTGTCCAGATGAATATCAAAGTATCAGAAGTACTAGTATCGCCAGTAATAAAAAGAACCAACCAAATACGGTTCAAGAAGACTGACTTCATCCTATAATGTAATCTTAAAGCTCTTGATATGCAAGGAGACAAATACATTTGCGCTACTGGCTGATTCTACGCAACGTCACTCAACGTGTTCAAACACTGATCCGGATAATAGCACGGATTCCAACCAGATAGTCTGCACTTTCCAAATCTGCTCAGTACAACAGCCAATGACTTCATGGATTAATTTGATGCTTTCTTTTAACATATTTCTATGCCAGTTAACACCACACGTTCAGGTGAGCGGTAGTTGGAGATATTTAGTTTTATGATATGCAAGAAATGCTTTGAAAATCCGTTGCCTACACATACCTTGCACTTTCATAAACTATGTTTCACAGTTATAGAATGAGATAAGAAGCAGGTATATAATATACCAACCTTTGTTCGGCAGCTGGATATCTTCCCTACACCGCAGGTAACCCAAGTTAGAAAAAAAACAAGACAGCTTCGTGAACCTGTGTTGATACTACCAAATATCGGTCTCTTAGGGTCGATGAGACCTCCAAGTTAGATGCAATAATTAGCGTAAAACTATTTTCCTTTAGGATTTAATCTAAAGGATGCATAAATCAGTGCTAATCCAACACTGTATTTAGGGGAAGAGAAGCACGTTAAATAGGACGATACCCTCTAGCGAATCCCACTGTAGATAGATATCCGGAAAATCAGTCGAATAAAGTATTATCATAGATATCCTTTTAGGAAAGAATATCTATGACAAATTAAAATAAACACGATGATGAATACGGTGAAAATAGCGACCTAGTGAATGGTGCTCTATATGTGTTAGTGTAATTAACTGTCCCTGCAAATTTTTGAAAAACTAAAAACACCGTTGAGTAAAGCGCTATGGATAAAAAATAACAGTGGTCGCTGGACTTGAAAGAGATATCTAGTAGAAACTTATATTGGTCATTATGCTTAGGAATGACTACTGAACCGAATTTCTTCATTTGATAAACGAAATTATATTATGAGTACAATAAATAGAATCAACCGCACACGAAGTCTCTGTCGGAATTTATGAATCCAGGACAGTCCAGCATCTAATGTTGTCGCCGAATGCCTTAGTACAGTCGGGAATGAGCAGTCCGCTCTTCTTGAAGCTCTCTCATATGGCTTCTGACAGGGGTTTCCTACCCGATGCTTTCTCGTGGCAGCAGCGTCGTTTACGAAACAGGGTACGAAAAGCTAATTCCCAGCGCTTAAACTGGGTTGGTGGTACGAAGGATCCACCTAGAGTTGGAAGACCTTGATGCTAAACCAACGGTTCTTATGGGCTCCAGAATACCGATAGCGAAGAGCGTGCTAACCCACCCCTGACCCCTGGGTACCATAAGGCTGGGATCCCCAACGTTGCTGCACTGCCTTGTGTACCAGGCTCAACGAATGGCCCCCAAGATAACCCTCTAGTCCGGTTTGGTAGTCAGGTGGCATTGCAACCCACGCGTAAATCCCACTACTTGTGTGGCACATATTTAGGTGACCTTTGTACCAATGTCTACGTTTAAATGACGAATAACAGTGAAGTATAATATAATAAGAACCTTAAACTGCCTGTCAACCAATAAAGGAACATGGCCTACTGACAAAACACTTAACGCCTAAGAGCCACAAAATATCAGTAGAACAGAAGTTCTGAATTGAATAATCAGCAAACATATGCTGAAACATTCCTCGTAATGAAATGAAGTTAGAAGTCCGGCTAGTGATGAGTTAAAGTTGTTACCCTGCGCAATTCTACTACCAGCTGTGATGATGCTGGAGGGTTAGATTTTTAAAGTTAAGTTGAAGTTCTGAACTCGGTTCTTCAAATCAAGGTTATGATTTTCATCAAGAAACGACATCAACTATGATGTAAAGCCTCATCATTCCAGTACCTACTAATTTAAGAGACTTACACTTTATGTTGTGTCAGATTGGGAATAATATTATCGATTTGCACTAACCGCTAATGACAACTCATTTAGTAGGAACGAATATTTTACAATACGATTTGTCATTAGTTTGGTTGTTAGGATTGGGAAATCCTACTTCACCAATAACAGCACCCAAGTTATCTACAGCTGTAACTTTAGCCTTTGGTTAGTTTGCGTTTAGCCAGGAGGTACATTGTGTGCTGGGGGTATCTGTGGAGCGGCGTGAGGTTATCAGGAAGAGGAGAGAGAAAAAATGAGCCGACGACTGAGTAAGCACAGGAAATGCACTTACATTCAACAGAAGAATAAATAGACAGCAACCAGATATAAAGCCAGAGTGAGATTAAGACAAACCGATCAAAGAAACTAGGAGTTGATAGAGTTTGGCTTCGAATGCGTTACACAGTAGCGCTTTAATTTTTGCGCAGAATCTAATATCCAATATATTATTCACGAGCTCGTATAAACCAACTGATTTCTACGCGCTCGATTCTTGTTCTTTCAATACGGTTCCAGGCGTTTGGTAGTGTCCAATGGATGAGGGTCTAGCCACTCGAATGTCTAAACCTAGTCGGTCCGCAGTGGTTTGTGAGTTTGCATGTCCCGTGATTTTAATGAAAACGTTTGTTTCAGGGCAGTAGGGTTTCTGGATACCAGCAGCTATCACATTACCAGACCGGCAGCCAGTTGGTTGAAATATGCAGAATAATAAGGAGAAAATTCTAATGCTAACAAGTGGATTTCAGGACTAAGTAAATAAATGGATAATTTAGTTTATTAATCGGTAGTGAAGATTGTTTGAGAGGACCGAAGTGTAAGCAAGGGAGATAAAACAGAGATAATAGGCGATATAGATTAAGTTGATGATCTTTGGCACTATCACCCATTTAGTTGCTCGTCTCTGCACTCGATCCAAGAGGTTTATGTCTCTTCTAAGGAGAAGGGGTGAGACGACGTCGTGAACCTCAAGGCTTGAACGTGCATTTGTCTCAAATAGCGTTAAGAATGATTTTGCGGTGAAGAGTTGCATTTGCCTTGGCTGCATCCCCTATATATTTCGAGCTGGTGTGGAGGCTTCCGGTGGCTATTAAATTGGGATCGCGCTCTGAGGGGACATCAAGAAGTGGACATTCATTGAGGGTATAAATCATTTGCATTATGTAAGGCAGAATGTATATGACGTGACATTTCTGCTAATCTAGTTTTAAATCGCTTTTAATGCCCATTCCTCAACGGATGTAAGGTCCATTTGAACGTCAGTCGAATCCTCTTCTCTTTTGATGGACCTCCAGATCTTTGCATCGTCTGCGTAGATCATTGACATCGAGCTCTGTCTAAAAGATTGTTAATGAATATCAGGAAGAGAAGTGGACCTAAGATGGCCGCCTGTGAAACTCCCGATGTGGATACTCGCCAACTCGCCTGCACTTTATTTACCTTGGTACGAAACTTTCTATTCTCAAGGTAGTTTCTGGGCCAAGATAGGACTGAGTCAGTGAAGCTCATTTCCGCAACCTTCTCAACTAGGAGCCCGTGGGGTACTGTGTCAAAAGCTTTCTCGGAGTCAAGAAATGTTATGTGCGCCGGTGCTTTTCGGTCCAGGAATGATGTCCAACTGTCCCATGTTATGAGAAGATTGGATCCGCACGACCTGCCTTTCCGAAACTCGTGTGAAACTTCGTGGAATTTTTTGTTCTTAACCATGTACTCCCTCGTCTTTTCGTTCACCAGCCCTTCCATTACCTTCGATAATATTGGCAGTAATGTGACTGGTCTGTAACAAGCTGGGTCCTTTCTATCTCCTCCTTTGAAGATTGGAGAGATAGTAGTTTGCTTCCACTCAGCTGGAAGTTGGTGTGACCCCAGTAAATGTCTGAACAGGTCACATCGGTGAACAGAGGGCTTCTACACACTGTTCCAAGACTATGAGGCGAATATTGCCACAACCTGGTGACTTACCTGGGCGTAAGGATTTTAGTTTCCTTAATACTAACTCGGGAGTAATACGGATATTCCCTAAGCTGTCAGTCGGCACTGGGTTTGAGTAGCACATCTGGATGCCTGGCTGAAGTGCTCATTGAAGCTTGTGTTGAAATTCTCAGCCATCTCTAGGTTGGTGAGGTTTTCCCCATTTGGACCTTTAAGAGAACACGAACCCTGACTCGTTGGTCATGGACCTAATCAGCTGCTTAGGGATTGCCAGTATTTTAACTTCTAGCTTCATTCGAAAGTGTATCCCATCACTTCAAGCTTTTGTATTGCATCTGTTTCTCAGTTCCAAGTAAGAATTGTAATTAGAATCCTTCAAGGAGACTTTCCACTTGTGCCAGGCTTTCCTCTTTTCCTGTAGCAAGCACTCAGTGCCGCACCTAACCCCCGTCCTTCTGTTTCCGGGTGTGTGGTGTGACTGAGGTACCTTCTCTACTACAGCATCCTGAGTGATGTCTCTCACCGTTTGCCAGTGATAATCTACTGTTAGTCTCTGCCATTCCCGTGGACATAAGGCAGGTAGAGGGTTCTCTCTCATGCGCGTATAGTTCGCCATAGTGTAGCAAATGTTTGGCTCGTTTTGTCCTGCCCAAGTGCTCCCTTTATGACCATACTAAAAAAGACTGTCATAGTCACTTCTTCATAATGGTGTATGGACGTGAATATCCTCGACCATGAGCTGATCATTTGCTAATAAATAATCTAGGTTTGAGGAATTTAGCTCCTTAATTCAGCTGGTGTCCCTGCACGCATACTCATTTAGACCAGAGCTTCTAATAGCTGTGCCAAGTCGTCTATGGAACCCACCAGTGGGATTTGTACCTCGATTGCCGAGATTTAGAGATAGGGTATTGAAATCTCCAGCTAAGAGTATTTTATCAAACCCAAGGAGTGGCAGTTGCAGTATTGTCTCAGTCAGTTTATCGTTCCGGGCCTTAGTGAGGGAGGTCGTTAAATCCCTCCAATCAAGTATTTCGTGCCATCTGTCTGGAAATAACACCCACATCATTCTGTCACATCAGCTAGTCGGGTGTCCTAGAGCCACTCGGCTTTTAAATGGCTGTCTACTTACACAGTCACTCCGCCTCCTTTTTGGTGTACCCTATCTATTCGGAAGAGTGTCATGCCTTTCAAGCTCACTTCGTGGTCTGCAACTTCAAGGGCGAGCCATGTTTCAGTTAGGATTATGATCTTCAGATCCATCGGAGAGCAACTATTCCTGATTTCTAACAGCTTACCGCTTAGTCCCCTTACGTTGCTACAGAGGCACTTGGTGGTTTGTGTCATCACCTGGCACACCTCTGCTACAACAGCTGTTATCGGATTTTCTAATAAGCTGTTTAAACCAATTTGGCCAGTTCTGTGTGAATTGGCCTCTGCAGGCTCTTTTGCTTGTGCGGTGCGTTGAATCGACCAATATTAGTGGACCGAATACACTTCCCTGGATAACCCCACTCACTATTGGTCTTGGTGATGAAACGCAATCGTTGTATTTAACCTTTGTAGGCGCCCATTTAGGAGTGAAGCAAACCATGAATATAATGGGTTACTGATTCCGAATGATTTTAGTTTAATGAGAAGCCTTTTGTGTGGCAACTCATCAAAAGCCTACTTAAAGTCGAAGAAAAGGACTGATACTAGAAGCCTATTAGATTATTTTTGAGTAATATCATTGAGACGGTCTAGCAGGCATGTGAAAGAGAGAGCTGTGGAAAAGGCACCGATGATAGGTAACAGTACTAGGAATCTATCTTCTAGCGAAACTATCTCGGAAAAGTACGGTTGTATCATTTGCTTTTAACCAAGGAGATTGAACACTTCATGGATCAAATCAAAAGTCACACTTCGGTTGCCCATGGTTTCCAGTCAACCTGAATAGCAAATTGATGTAACCCCACCGATGCGATATGTTGCTTCAGAATTAGCTTATGTCGGCATCTGAACTAGTGATAGGGAGTGAAGCCGTTGAGCGTGTTGACCGCTTCACTTATCTCGGGTGTCTGATCAGTGGTGATGGCGACTGACGAAATCTCAGCACGAATACAGAAGGCTCGATTGGCTCTCGCAAACTGGCGTCACCTATGGCGCAGGCGAGATATCCATTCGCCAACCAAAGGACGAGTGTACTGCGAAGCAGTACAGCTATCATTAGTCCATCAAATCACTGTACTTTTTCCTTTTTTTCTTCTGTAAATCTACAAAGTGTTTGGCTTATTTGGTTGCGCTCAACTGCGCCCTCGTCGCCTAACTGGTGGCTCGTTTTCAATCATCTACACAAATTTGTTTGTGCTATAATCGGTACAATAGAAAAAGGAGACCGTTTGAGTAAGAATTCAGCTCAGAGGTGTATGACCTCTTCAAACATTCAATAATGTCACACTGACATCGAACTAAGTGAAAACAAGACCCTCTCTCACAGTCGCCAAGGGAGAAGATAGGAAAAATTTAGCCTGCTAAATTCCACTACATTCGAAGTTTGTGGAAAGACTAGTGAATAAGTACATAAATCATATTATCATCATCTTTAAGGCCCAAGATGGCTATAGGAAATGCAGGGACCAAAAATTACCGGTTCTTATAAAGTTCTCTGAACTCGTCTGACAGTTCAACACAGTACCTTGTAGGCTCTCAGTAGTGAAGGTTTCGAAAATGGGCTTTACTAAACCACTTCTACCTTAGCTCACAGTGTCACAGTGAATCGAGTGCGTCGCAGCTGGCGAGTCTCGACGGGTGATCATTTTATATCCATTCCTTCTGCTGATATTCAGTAACTGCTTGTCAGAAAAAATTAGCTCAATGACATTATTCTATTGCGTTGGTGTTTCGTTTTCTTAGCTGGATGTTTTGGTTGTGGAACTTTCATTGTTCTTCTGAACAGCATCATAAGCACAAACCTCAGGTAGAAGTGAACTATTCGATTTTCTCCACCTTTGACCTGTAGCTTGGTTGTTATTGACCTTAAACCTGTCGTTGTTCGCACTTTTGTTTTGACTGTATCCCCCTTTTGATCTGTTTCTTGATCCTATGTCACCTATGCTTTTTCTTATTGGTTCGTAAATTGGGTCACTGTCGATGTGTTTGTTGACTGCTGACTAACCTGAGTTCCAAGCTTCTAAAAACTCCCTAGTATTACTTGTGCCCCCACTATTCAGTATTTCCACACAGTTCCAATAGAACGAATGTCCATAATTGTCGGTGTGTATTGATATAAGCGAAGAAATATCGTGGCGTCTGACTGCCAATCAGTGTTCAGGTAAACCAAGCTGAAGAGGTCATCAACTTTGTCCTGTGTAGTGTTTCTCACAATATGGACAATTTATTTTGTAGATGATATTTGGTTTTTCTTTCTTTGTCATTTTGTCTTTTGGCCGAAATATGATTGACTGAAGTGATGCTGTGGGTTTGCATGCCACATATATTCCGAATGATCTTAGTAGTCGTTAAAATGTTCTAATATGTCTTTTATGCATGGTAGGCTGGTTCCTGTACTTGATTTCGCTTCTGGTGATGATTTAGGTTGATATTTTTTGATGAAGTTGTGTGACTAGCCGTTCATTTGGAAGATAGTCACAAGGTGTTTTTCCTCGTTTTTTAGTTCTTCATCTGTGCTGCGGTGTGTCTTCGCCCTCTTGAACAAAGTTTGTATGCAGTTCATTTTGTGGTTTCTTGGGTTGTTCCTACCGCCCGTGTGGGTTGGCTTCCGAAATACTTGAGTTTCCAGTTTTCCGGTGTTAGTTCTGGTGATTAGTACATACAGGAATGATAGACTACTGTTTGATTCCTTTTCCATGGTGAATTCCATGCCATCGAATACGTTGTTGATCTGATTGTAGATGTTCTCCAGCTCGTTCCTTTTGATAATGACGAATGTGTGGTCGACAAGGTAAACCAACATCACTGGTTAAACCAACGTTGGAGTCGAATCCCAATGAATTTATCCAAGAATTGTGTGCAGATGATGCGGAGATTTGGAGTTCTATTAGAAGCGACGTGGATTCATTTGAGCTATGAATTTACCTTATCACAATCAATTTATGAGCGGCAGAAAATGGGTTTGAAGTCGCATGATAAACATTCCACCCACTCGACACAAACTAGGTTCGTCTTCAGTTGAAGTTCGCTCCCAAATGTTTTCTCAGAGTGCAACCTCAGCTGAATAACCACACCGAGCCTAAAAGAAAGAAAGAACAAATCTCTTGGATCATGTGCTGAGGCTAGCCACTAGATGGATGATAGGGCTAAGGACTGAGCCTTGCGAAGACAGACACCAGCACTTGAGATTATGCCCACTGAGTTACAGTAGTATCAGAGGTGATTAAAAACAACGTATCAAGAACGCCAGATAATTCTAGCTCGAGCATCTGGCCGAAACACCACCATCCTCTTCTCGAGGCAGCCCTCAAATTTGTACATCAAAGAGCGATTGTATGGGTTTTCGCACACTTTTTCACTTTGAAAGTTGTCCTAACTTGGAATGCTCTCCCAACCAAAGTGATCCCAGACCATTAGGTGAACAGTTGTATTAAGAGATTTGACGATCACGTACTTACTAATTATCATCACCCTCTTTGACCATCAGCTCGTAATGAATATGTCGAAACTAGCTTGTTTTTATCAAACTACTAACTTCTTACATTTCGTTCATTATCCCTATTTCATCTTTGTTGGCTTACAAGTGTGTCCACTTGCACAATCATCACTACTAATAAATTAACTTATACATTTCTAAAATCTCATCAAAAATAGAAATTTTATTTGTTGTTCCTCAAATCGCAACTAACTGATCTATAGCCTGAGAATGTGATAACTATTTGTATCAAGAGACCTTACTGTCTTGAGAGAACTGTGCTCTCTCAAATCACAGGACACAAATTCATAAAAACTGCTATCTGACTGGAATTCATGCAACGGGGTGTCCAAAGCACCATCCGTTGGACATTAACGAATACTACGAACCCTACTGAAACAACACGAATAGAGCGCAAAGAAATCGAACAGTATATTTTGGTTGGACATTGGACAGCCATTTGAAACTGAAACCTTAGTTCATTTGATTTTCAGGGCCGTCTTATTTTATTAAGGTTGTAAAGTCATGCAGCTGTGTTCCTAGATTCCTTCTGATAAGCGTATACCTTCATTACGAATTGAAATTATTAATTTGTATTATCTAATTTTATCGACTTATTTGTTTCAGTGTAGTTCCATAATTTACAATCTATTTAGATCGATTTGCAGTAATGCGCCTAATTGTCATACCCTTCCTACCTATACTTGAATTTCAAATGCGATTGCGAACTCCATAGCCTGCGACCTCTAAACGCTTTAGAAATCTTGATCAATTTTTTTGGTAGCTTTCATAGTAAACATAGGAGAAATGCAACATAAAACTCCAAAATTTCCCCAGTCTGATGTTTTGCCCCAATATCTCCATAGTGATTTTGGTAATTTTTGACGGTTTCGGAGAAAACCTAGAATTTCCATAAAATTGCTGCTGTATGGAACGTATTCATTTAGTGCTTCTCGAACCATATCTCATGAACTCAAACTGTTAGATTTGTAAGTTAGTTTTTATCCACCTCGTTTTGAGGTTGTGAGGTCCTCGTGATACACTAATTGAATAGTCCAAATTGCAGTTACTCCTTGCAGCTTAATGTTATGTGTGTCTATTTAATCGAGTGAATAGCTGACACCTTTGTGAGTGTTGTATGTTTGTATGATGTCACTAGCTCACGTTTTCTTTCTTTTTTCTCCAGATTTTCTCATCAGGAGAGAAGGCTGTTCTCATTTGATATCCCTACTCCCTCTCTTCACGCCTTTTTACAAAGATATACAGTTGGCTGGACGTAAACTTACTAACTACTGGGCATTACATACTCCTCGTGTTCATATTGAGGTAATTGATAACATTTGTGATCTATCATATGAATAATTTTCAAGTGTGATTTAGTTACAAGTAGGCACTGCAAAATTAAAAGCTTATGTTGTCCAGGAAAATCCAGAACTATATCTATTTCTCTAGTACAATGGCTTATCTTCAAGGAATATAAGCATATAATCAAGTAGCATTGTTTTCAATTAGATCTTCATCAGACTTTGCTCCAATATACGGTAACAGTCCATTTTTACGAAACTGGCTAACCCGCCCAGTATTATGAAGCATCGATTTAAACCTTCTCATCGCAACCAGTACACCTATCATCCCACTATCCATATTTTAATTTTTTTTCTGCTCTCATCGCTGACTCATAGATAACCTTGATTGGTTTAATATTTTCATGTATGCATATAGATATTATTGTATATTACAGTAAAGCTGGATGAAGATTTAATAGAAAACAATATTTTAATGTATGAAGACACATAGGCTTCTGGTCTCAATCCCTTAGATCGTAGCTTTGCACCATAAAGTCTTATTTAAAATCGCTTGAAGTTCGTGTTTTGTTTACAAACGCCTATCGTTCTAGGTCAAATCAACACACTTGATGAGGTTCAAAAACTTGTGTTCGAGCCTAGCATTAATAATTAAGTTATTACCACCATCTTGAAAAAACTGGCTTTGATGGCCTGATCATGCATTACGAGTGTCGTTCCAGAGATTTCCGCGTAAGGCATTAATTACTGACACTAAAACAGCGTGATGAAGGTGAAGATGTGTTTGGTTTATGATATGCCGTTACGGAAAAACTATTTGGGACGAACGGTTGTTTGTCTACCATGACTCCGCCGTTTCGGTCGATATTTTGTTGTAGCACAACAAAAACTTAATCAACGCTCCGTATTCGTCTTTTGATTTATACACCGTTCGGCGTTCATTGAGTGAGTTGCAACGTACGTATGTACATAAGTTCAGGTTACCATACCACATTAGCACAGAGACGCAAATGTCAAATCGACTGCTCTGCCTTCCATACGCAGTACTCGTTTCCTGACATTAGCATTGCTTACTCGGTTGTCCTAGGATATACGAGCAGTGCTTCTAAGACATCTATGATCGAATACTAGTAACCTACGAACATCTACTCTTAACGGCCATGTTTCGCATCCATATAGGCGAACGTAGTGAACTGCTGCGCAGTACATCCGTCCTTATAGTAAACACAAGCCTCTGCATTTTGTCAGCGTCTTCACCGAATCGAACTATGTCGTCGGCATATTCTAGGTCAGTAAGCCATTTTCCTGGTAGAAGGTCAACCCCTGAAAAATCTGACGAGCTTAAGAGGATGTCTACAACGAAGTTAAACGAGAATAGAGAGAGCGGAAAGCCCTGACGGACACCACTTGAAGTAAAGAATTCCGGCGTCAGTTCGTCATAAGTTCTCACTCGACCAGTGGTGTTCGAGTAGAGAGCCTGTATGAGGTTAATGTACTTCTTTGGTACACCCTTCAATGACAGACACTGCTACAGAACCTCATGATCCAGAGAGTCAAATGCCGCTTTTAGGTCCAGGAACACAACTTTTTTTCAGACGCCTAAATGTGTGTCTGTGTTTCAGGACCTGTCGTAGTGTAAAACTGTGGTCTATACAGTCACGTCCAGTCTGGTTTTTTCTAGTCTGCTCTTCACGAGCTCTAGTTAGGCATCTAAGTATAATGGGGGCTAACAATTTAGAAACTATATTAGTTACACTTATTCCCCTGTGGTCGTCACAAGAAGACTTGTGTCCTTTTTTATAAATTGGGACAATCAGTGATTGAGACCAGTCGGATAGGATTACACTCAGTTCCCAGGTTCTACCTAAGATCTCAGTCAACCTAGCTGCTAAAACTGGACCACCATCCTCAAATATCTCAGGGGTCAACCTATCAGGCCCTGCTGCTCTACCTCCCCTTAGATTTCTTATAGCTTTCTGAACTTCATGAGACTAGGAGGACTTAAATCGACTTGCCGTTCAGGATGACTGGGGATCGTGGGCAACGGAAGTGTGGCTGAAGACCTGTTGAACTGGTCCCTAAAGTGTTCTACCCGTGGATCCAATCCCCTGGATTGAGAATAAATTATACAGCCATCCTTTTCTGAGATAGTCCCACTCACATTCGGGTTCCTAATACTGATTTCTTCGATAAGGCGGAAAAGTTGTCTATTGTTGCCTATCGCCGCTGCCTCTTCCATCGCTTTTGCTTTCGTCACTCACCACTGTTCGCTGTCGTTAGGTAGGCTTTTTATCAGTCTGCGCCTAAGCTGACTTCGCTCTTCGTCATCTTCAGAGTCAGGTGAGATGCATCCATCCATCGAGCATCCATCAGTTCGGTGGATGCGACTGAAATCCACGGCTTCATCCTAACCATATGGTTAACCTTACTAGCAGATATCACTGCTGTTTTAACAGCTTTTTTGATATCGTTCCAACCTGCCTCCGGATGGGAATCACTTAAATGGTCGCCTAACTGTTTTTCTAGTTCCTCCTGAAATATTTCCTTAGCTTGATTATCATTAAGTAAAGACCTAAGAGGTTTTCTTGCGATATTTTCCTGGCGTCCAGTAAGGCGCAAACAAGTACGCGCTCGCACTAGAGCATGATCTGAATCCAAACATGTGCCCTAGAACGAGCGTCAGTTCTCTATCGAACCCCTTCATAGGTGGCTGATTGCGATGTGATTTAGTTGCGTCCAACGTTGAGACGACTTTGGGGGTCGCCAGATCAAAAGATGGTTTTCCTTATGCTTAAAGTTAGTGTTTGCTAGAAATAGGCAGTTATCTGAGCATAGTTGCAACAGACGGTCGCCACTGTCTGTTCTTTGAGCCGCGACACCATAACATCCACCCAGGTGTCTTTCTTTTTCACTTAGTCTACCTACTTGAGCATTAAAGTCAGCAGCCATTATTACTATATCAGAGCGCCTAGCGTTTTGGAGGAGGTCCGAAAGCTTTCTGTAAAACTCATCTTTCACCTCGTCTGAACTGCAGTCAGTGGGGGCGTAGGCTGATATGACGAAGAGGCAACGACAATTGTCCCTATCCTTCCGAATCCTTACTGTCCCGTTTAGTCGGACGGTGCACAAGCGACTATCTACAGGGATTCAGTCTAGGAGAGATAGTTCTGCCCTAGGACTCAATGCTATACCTGCACCAGCGAGATCTTTGGAAACAGCATCAGGGCTGCCGGATACACGAAGAGTAAATCGAGTCGCTCCTTATTTTGACAAGGTGAAATCAGATTAATGACTTTACTACGATCCTGGATGAGCGTTTCCGAGAAGCAACATACGTTGATTGCACGAGATTCTAAAGTCCTAGCTAATGAAGCCCGTCGCCCTATTTGACACAATGTTCGTACAGTAAATGCTCCGACATGTAGTCTAGAATGGAATTTCAGGAGGCCAGGAATAACTTTTCGTGAACACGCATCGTTTTCATTAGCGGTGCAGTGAGGTAAAGGAATGTGAGTAGAGTTAGTCGTGGAGATAAGAGAGATAATAGGGGGTGTAGGAAGGACTTGATTTTGACCAATTTGGTCTTGTATGCGGTTATGGGTATGAGGGCGGTTGTCACTTCCCGGCTGCCCACACCATGGAAGGGTGTTTCTTGAGGAATAAAATGTTTAAATGGTTGTCTTTTTGTCTTTATAGTATATGTGTTTATGCATTTGCATGTAAACTGATGTAAGAAGTTGAGGATAATATATGATTCGTGTTGATATTACCTTTGTTTTATGGATCCTTGTGTTATATACGGTAGGAACAATTTTGTTGTATGAAATCTACTGTTGAAAACCTTCTTCAGTCTTTAAATGATTTTGTTTATGATGTGATGGTTATTGAATCTCATTGGGATAAAAATACGTTTTTTTATGTTTGTAAACTTTCGTCCTACTACGTCCTACTGTACTACATTTCTTTGCGAATACCTATGTATACCCATTGTTTCGATTAAAAAATATCTATTATTGTGCATTCCTCCTCGAGCTTTTCCTATGAACGTATATTTTCGACCCTATGGTAGAGCATTTTCACCAGTCAATAGTTATAATCTGAGTAATTTTGTTGATGAGATTTTTTTTTGTGTAATGACGCGAATCATACAATCAAGATATTCGACATTTTCAATACGGTTCATCATATTACTAAATTCGCAATGGAATATAAATCAATAACTGACTCTATTTCTTAGGCTTCAGTGCTTCGCAAATTAATGATCGGACATCAAGGTTGTTCTTATTGGTCGAGTTGATATGTGACTCAGTAATCCGAAGTAAATTCTCTTTAGACGGAAAAACACTAGTTGATTAAAGAAGACTGAAAAAATGATGTTAGGAACTACGAATTAAGAAGCATTCCTGAATACTTTCCTTAATCCCTATGACGGAATGTACTTGATTAAGAAACGGAGTGGATAATCTTGTTAAATGCTCAAGTTACGGAAGCAGATGGCTTTATTCTAAGAATGGTATGGCAGAAGAATTAGATCAATTAAACGGATTGTTGTAACAAGCAACCTAAAGAAATTGTTCTCAACTCAAAGAGATATTTTCAGCGTGTTTATTTGGGCCTACAATAGGGTCATCTCGTTTCAAGCCTCGTCAGAACATATCATAACCATTACTCCTCCGTCTCCCCTTTTATTGTGTATTTTGTTTCAACCTATGACATATTTCTTATTTTTAATTACACGTCCATCTTTCTTAGTTCACATGATGTTCTTATCAATAGTTATTGTTATTATGACTGTTATGAACATCATAATAGCTACTACACAATAATCCATATATTGTACTAAATTGCGCAATCGATTTTAATCTACTGATCAAAACCCATATAACGTTTCCTATCCGTACTCCTACAATTTTTTTTTAACCAATAACGTATTTTAAGAGTATTAAAGATTCCCATTGTGAAAATTAGAACAACACATATAAGCGAACAATATTGTTTTCGATTAGATCGTCATCAGGCTTTACTCTAATATACATGAATATTTATATGAAAATGTTAAACCAATCAAGGCAATTTGAGTGATAATCACAATGAAATGAAAAAGGCAAAAGTACAAGTGGATAGTAGGAAGATAGGTGAACAGATAGTAGTAGGAAAATTTATGAAATATGATAACTAAAGTAGGTCAAAGGTGGATGGATAGAATTAAAATAATCAACACAAAACATCAAAAACATTACGTAATAAGCAAATGTGTAAAAATAATAAAATTAAAATAAATAAAAAATATATATAGTGTCAATCGTTAGTTACGTCATATCCGGCCACGAAAGAAATAGGGGTGTAACGAATTTCTTCTGCAACACAAATTAGGGTTGAATGTACGTATTCCTATGGCTTCTGCAATGTGTGGGAGACGGGATCGAACTCTGTTGGGAAATGATGGAGGTATACGATAGATCACCCGAAAAGATCTAGATTTATCTACAATGTGACCACTATCAACCAGGTGTGCTAAGATAGGACTGCGTATTGTTTTTGACTGACCCTTCGTAAACCATGCTGGGAGATATTCATTCATTCGTTGTGTAAGTTGCCTGTAAGTACGCCCGATATAGCTATCTCCACGGGAGCAGCTGAATTTGTAAATGCACATAGAGGAGGCCAACTCAGGTAACTTATCCTTCGTTTGGGTAGATATCGCTGGTCGACTGGAGAAAGTCAATGCAAGTTTGGCAGCGTTGAATGTTCTACTAATTACTCTTATTAATCTGTCCTGCAGAGTATCGCAGGCCACATCTCCGTTGAATTGTAACTTCATAAATAAAGGCTTCTTTTGGGCGGTCGAAACCACCGACTTCTTTTTTACGGCAAACATATACTTCTTTATGAATGCGCTGGGATAACCAATCTCGGTTAGTGAGCCTTTGATGAATTCCAGCTCCTGACTTAAAGTATCCACTGAAAAAATCATACTTACTCTGTTAGTGAGGCATCTAACCAAATTTCTTTTGTAGCGGATAGGTGTAAAACTACAATGAGTGAACATCTCCCAGCATGGTTTACGAAGGGTCAGTCAAAAACAATACGCAGTCCTATCTTAGCACACCTGGTTGATAGTGGTCACATTGTAGATAAATCTAGATCTTTTCAAACCTGCCGTGAAAGCCAGAATAATCTGTTAAGTGTTGGACATTTTCGATAACAATAAGTTCTAGTACTAGGGCCATCATTAGTTTAGATTCAGGATCTTAAATGTGAAAGTTTATTTTCCAGTATGCTGTCTCTATAAGTATCATTAGGCCTAATGTAGTTTAATTTTAGTATTCTGACCCTGACTCTACGAATTGACAAAACGTTTTTCACACATTTCGCTTTGCTCTTCCAAAACCTGTCGTTCAATGATATTATTTATTTACTTAAAACACAAACATTGGTACAAGAAGGTATCAAAATATATTTTTACTAACCGATTAGCGCTGCCTCACCATTAGAACTTAGTGCAACACGAAGGGCAGCAAGACCAGATGATGTCACACGGTTCTCAAATGAACGCACGCGGGACAAGCTTTTCGAAGTCGCAGACGAAGAGCGAATCTGTTGGTTGCCAATAAAGGCCTAATTCTGGGTCTAGGATAGATGACAGATACCGATGTTCGAATTTTTCTAAAGATATAACTGACTGTGTCTGTTGCCCGATCTGCATTAGTGTGCAAACGTTGAAGCAGACCGATTTGAATACCATACATAGTTTCAAAAAGAGTGCTTCAGAATTCGTATTCAGTGGTAGCATTCAACTTGCGACCAGTCAGTGACTTGAGATCATTTAGATAGGACAAGATCCTCGCTATAGGCGAGGTGCTGCATGAGCTGAAGCGTAAAGAATACACAAAATAAATAAAGGAATAAACATTTGATGCAAGGTAAAACAGAAACGAATGTCAGCAACTTATTATGAGTACAGTTTGTGAAAATGTGGATCAGTGTGCAAAAAATTTTCCAAATGTAGTTATCATTAGATTTGTGTATAGCTCGGCTGCCAAAACCGAGGCGGGTGATTTTCTAAGGGGGACTCTCCCTGAGCCATTGGTCAGACTCTTGTTCCACATGGCAGTGGAGCAACATCGACATCATGTTAGCTGCAGCCAAGAATGGATTCGCATGCCATTTTTTTTCCCAGGCCCCCAGAGTCCAAGTGTACCTTTGGTTTAAAAATCAGGGTTTTTTAACTTACGTTGGTGGATCTTCATCATCCCGATTAGAAGCCGGATATTCGCTTTTCGTACTCTTAGTTTCGAGAACAATACCCCTCATGAGTAGGCAGTGAGTAGGACTTTCTTGGCAGTGGCTATACATGCATGACCAGATGAGGGAGTTTCGAAAAAGAGAGCGAGATCTTCCTACTCACAACCGTGCTGGGTCGTCTGGGAGTAGACATGTCAGTTTTTAGACTGACGATTATCAGCTCAGATACCGTTGTAAATAAAATTTAAACCCACACATAAAGTGTCGAATCAGTGTTGTAGTAAAATTGTTTGTATGCTCAAATTGTGCTAAATAGGTCCCTTTTTTAAACCCTGGTGACCAGTTCACATATCGAATAATGATAGCTTTTCACCAATAAAATGTATGATTTTATGCTTAAAGGTTCTATCCAAGTAAAAATCCCTCGATTGGAAAGATCTCTATTTGTTATTTGTAAGTACTTTTACACTTCTAACAACATCTTAACCTATCGTTTTCAAATTAAAATCTCTTCGCTTCCTAATACCCGGCCTGTTTTCACTAATAACCCCCTTCTGGCTTCAGCTTCCAGTCGCTCTCATCAATGATGTTTGATAGTCATCACTGTTGCTGTACTATTATGAGGTATTGCTTGTGAAATACTAAGTGGTTGTTACCACTGTCCTACACATACTACATGGACACCATGCAAATAATTTCAACAATAAACAACTGGTATTTAAATAAGTACCGAATAATGTCACTTCAGCCATAAGTTTTGATTGCTGAGATATTTGATATACGTTAATACAGCGTTGCCAAAGCGACATGGTGATTGCTTGAGCTTATATGTAAACATAATTTATATTGTCGTATCCGGAGATTAACACTTGTAATATTTGGTTCCTTGTTCTTAATTCCCTGAGAAGAGTCCTGGTAATTATGTTACTCAAAGCATCAAAACGTAAGCCGTTATTGCTATTGTTCCCTCTTGTTTTATACTTGTAATTTTTGGTTAAATCACCTGACTTTTGGCAAAAGGGTTACACGTTCCAACACCATCCTAACTACTTCAGTTTGGACAAACGGGTAGTTTCATCAACTGTCAAAAATGGTATGGCTCAACGTCGATCACATAAATGTTTACTTGGTGAAAAGGTTACAGCAAGCATTTCCAAATTTACGTAACGTAGGTGTAATAAAAGCTTGTTCCTACGCTGAATTCACATTTTCAGTCATATATCCTGTTACCGTCATTATCCCCTTTTTTGCATTATTCTGTTTCAGCTTGGATCAGCATGCCAGTTACTGAGTGTTTTGTCTGCAAAATTGTTTTCTGTGACCAAGATGCCTATTGGAAACATGTTTACGAAGACGACTGTCACAATCCGCATAAAACTTCATCTGTTAACTCAAATAGTAATGAAAACGACATTCAAAAGCCTGTTCAAAGCATGTTGAAAATAAGTAATTATTCAGTTGAACAGTCTAGCACTGAGCATTCTGATGCTTTTTTAAAAAAATTTTCGTCTAATAAAGTGGATTATAGAAAAGTACCAATCAAACGTAATCCTTCTAATAATGCTTACTGTGATACTTGTCAAACATACATGACTCCTTTTGATTTAACTCGCCATAAAGCCGGTAAAAAACATTTAAAAATGTTAGAAAAAGCAAACAGTTTTGTCCCAGTATCAGGCGAAGGATATCAATATACCAGTTTTTCTACTTACAACCACCAAACAAATCCTCTTAAAGTAAAAGATGATTGTAGTCCTAATATCAATCCCTGTAGTGTGACAAATGATTTCATATCCTCGTGTATGAATTCATCATCAGACTCTCCAGTCAAACAGGAAACTGATTCTCAGTACACTCTTAATGTACAATCTCCCTCAACGTTTATAGGAACATCTGAGAATCGTTCAAACAAATTGATTACTAAGTCTATTTTACGCAGATTGTGTATGACAGAAATTTCATCACTTTTAACTCAAATGGTTGGAGATATGGATCAAAATGCTGATTTTTACAGGCAAATAAAAACAAAATGTCGGAACGACCTAAATTCTATTTTGAATCATGAGATTCCTATTCTAAAGAGTACATTTAACCAAGAACTTCCCTCACAAACAAAATCTTCCAAACCAACCAACATTTATCATAATGAAAACACGTCGCTCAGCCAGATGCTCTTGTTTTGGGTCAGACAACTCCATGCGCTAAACAATGATTAGTTTTATTCATCAATTTGTAAATTTCTTCAGAATGCTTGGCTGCATCTTCACAAATAGAGATAATCTTTTTTGTTGAAATTACTATGTTGATTACTTACCAGTATGTCAATATTTAAACTACTGATTATTTCACATTCTATGTTTAAAATTATAACCAAAGCATATATCTTCCTCTCATTTCAATATACTTCTCTAGATTTCGCACATATTATTTGACTGAATCCTGTTTACCACAACGCGATTGAAAAAAGCTGAAATATGATCTGTGTGAAGTATAGGTATATTTCGAGTATGTATATGGGTAGCAGACAAACGATGAGTGTGAATAGATAAAGATTCGATACTATCCGAGTCGTTAAATGACTCTAAGCTTACATGGAGTCATATATAGTGCAATAAATATAAATGCGGACAGTAGAAATATAGAAAATATACATCTACAAATCGTTAGTAACCAATCATTTCACCATTAGTGCACAATTTTTGACCGGGTCATGTATCAAAACACATAAGTAGTAGAAATAAATATATTGAAGTAAATAATATTACAATCATACATTTGGTTGTCACATGATTGATCATTTTTATCTCTATTAAAGTAGATATTTGCTTATGTGTATGTATTTTAAGTGAATAGCATGAACCATTGCAAGACAATTAAAAGTAACAGGTGTATATCATCACCTTTCCAGCAGCAATGCTGCTTTCCGATTCACAAAATGATACAACCACATATAAATATCTCTTTCATATGTTCATATAATCCTACTAGTTCTTCTGTTTCATGTTAGGATGAAATCAAAAGTCACATCGTGGCTAGTACTGTCAGTCACTAATAATTTGCATAGTGTTTTTTCTCCCTGTGGCTTGCGAATATCCTTGAAAAACGTTGACCGGTGTATTTAGTAATTTCTCTCACAACCACAGTTCGCGCACAATACCGAAGATCCCGAGTTCGAATCCTGCGAGTTGCAGGAGTCGTGGATGCGCACTGCTGACGAGTCCCATACCAGGACAAAACGGCCGTCCAGTGCTTCCAGGTTTCTAATAGTGGTCTAACAATGATTGATGATTTCAAATGTGTAAAAACACTAATCTCTATAACTTTAGGTATAAATTTCCTTTTTATGGTGTGATACAGTCTGTTTCGTCTCCGTATGAACCACGTCTGTGTGAATTATAAATACAGTTCACTACTTCTGAACTCAAACACTGAACATGTATGGGAGCCAGCGAATTGTATGCTAATAGGAACCTAACTGCCGGCTGATTGTCAACAGTACTAGTTCAGCATGTGATTAGCCACGTCAGAGACACTAATCCATGTAGTAAACAGCGAATCGAACTAGAATTAAGAATCTGATTGGTTACTGGGAACATGATGTTGGTTAGTGTGTAACAAGACATGACAATAATAAATGTAGAGAATTAAAACTTCATTAACAGAGGCACAAAAAGTTAATCAGAATTTCAAGTTACATAATAGACAAAATGTCACAAGAATATAATGATAGAGAAACAAGATGTAAGGCTCACCCATTTAATAACTATGAGGGAAATAAAAATTTGGATGTCCATGTGTCAAAACAATTTACAAAATAAGATAAAGAAGAGTTATGTAAGATAAGTGTCCACTTGAACAACATTAAAAGATGAAGAAGAGAAAATGGATACTTGTAGACAATCGACTAACAAATCATGATATATGATGGACTAAGGGGTTTGGCATACCAGTCCTACACATAAAGATCGGGTTTGAACTGATGCATAACTAAAGCCTCTTCTGTGCACAAGTTTCTTGTCCGGTTTCCTTTCGAACCGGTTCTTTTTGATGATTCAGGTGCAAACAGGTGACCAGAATTTACTAGATCGTCATATTTGTATTCATCTTTTTATGATGATTGTAGATAGTGCTGAAATGACCAAACTTTTTGTGTTCTGCGTTACAATATTCACAAGAGCAAGTAAACTGACTGGCAGATATGCAGCAAGTTGATGCGAACCGATAGTTTATGCTTGACACACCGTTGTATCACGCATCCTTCGCAAAATGAATAAAAGGTATTCTTCAAAGAATTGATCACTTAATTTCGCAAGATTGATGTGGCTATATCTCTGCTGAACTCAGTGATCATGAACAAAATCGCTCGCACTGTGAGGGGGCCTTTCAATTTGGTGTCCTAGTGCCTGTGAATCTGAGGGAAAATTCATTTTCCATAAATGTGTCTGATCTTGTCTAACTGTATGTCGAGCGTGTCTTCGTTACAGATTTTTTCAGTTCTCAAAGTTAGATAATGTATCAGATTTTTTCGTATTCAACTGAACCCAATGTCAGAAGTTATTATAATTCCCATTCCATGTAAAGTACCACTCGGCCTTGTGAGCAAAACACCGAGGAACTGAAATTCTGTGTTTGTCTTTGACTGTAGTATGAATATAGTATAATATGGGACATGTTAAACTCCTGACCACTGGTTTCATCACAGAAAATGAAAGTTTCATCTATATATTGTTTGCAGAAATGCAAATATCAGTCGTTCATTGAATAACAGTTTTCTATGGATTATCCACGAAGCATCCCTCTAAAAAACGACCCAGTGTTGATCCCATATCAACACCATCAGTTTCTTCATCGTAGCATCATGTTGTGAATATCATCTGGATGATGATGATAATTTTTCCTTGACGCTGTCGAATAAATCTATTTAGCCACTCCTTTCCTGGTTACAGTTGCTTTAAATGGGATTCACAAAACCAGCAACGAAGATTTTCTGATTGAAATAGTAGCACATAGTATGAATCGAATGGCAATGCCAACTTATTTTACCTTATTATTTCGCCTTACTATTCTCATGTGTGCCATTTACAAGCAGTCAACTCATTAGCGAAATATGTTCGTGATAGTTACAGGTGATTAACCGGCATCAGCTATTAAAATAACGGAAGGTTAACCAAATTCACATTACCTTTTATGTCAAGTAAAGTATCTTTCATTCCATACATTGTTTTCAACGATATTGTGGATGCTGCGATCGGAGTTTATTCAATCGTTCTTCCTTTACATGTATACAAAAAAATATTAGCAGGTAAACAGGATTTTTTCGCCTCAGCTAATTCGCTTTTCAGTTCGAATCTAGGATGTTTCGTTTATTGTCCTTTGTCAGCTGCTACCAAGTTACCCAACTTCATAAAAAAATCCACCCTTCGTCTACAGAATAAACCGACACCTGCCAGGTGTAGCTTATCGTAAAGTCATCTGTATCAACTTATAAAAGAGGTCATTGAACCTTTAGATAAGTCTTTCGGGATTACGAATTCCCTGTATTCCGGGAATTCAAAGAGATAAAATACTTTTATTAGATATTCTATATCCCGTCTTTTGTCTGTAATTGGTTGCAGCTTATTAAGTTGACAAGTATAATAATTCGGACACGGTTATCTCCAGGTTCAAATATTTTATTTCCGTTAGACTATTTTCAAATACTTCCAACGATAATAATTACATAAATTTTGATGTATAATTTAATATATAATTTCCAGTACTTTAAATTGTGCTTATGTCAGTACAGAAGACTAATGATAGATACCTGATGAAATCTTTAATTATCTACTATATTTCCTCGACCATACACTCATATTTAAACTCTGAAACTCTTCATCAGCTAACTTACACCTTTCAATACCTTAACTACTAGAAATTTTAACACTATATCTAGATAAATCTGTACCATTAGGAACTTGTAAACTGTTATGCAAGTTTCGGACAATCTACCCAAATTAGTTACATTACAACTTCTTTACATGGCTGTAGCCATCGAGATCAACTCAGGAAAACCTAACTTATGTATCCAAAAGAAGTATGCTCAGAACCTTGATCCACAACTGGATCACTATATGCACTAACTGAATACTCTCCCCCTAGTTCTTTTTCTGCTTATATCTATGCATTCATTTTTTCCATTTCGCACGAACTTATCATACATACCTCAACAATACCTGTCTTATTACATTTTCTATTCACGGGAGCTCATTATTAGTATCGGTCATATTATTACCATTATTATTATTATATCTGTTAACAGGACAGAATCCTCCTACCATGTACGATTTATTTTATCATTATTTTTCTATATTGATGACAACCTGACACCTTACAATGAATCGTTCGAACCTTCTGCAAATAATCTTTCTAGTTTATAAACGAAACATTTTTTGAAGTAGTTTTGCGGTAAAACTATTTTTCACATAAAATATTATCCAATCCTTTATTTTAACCCTTGTAATAACAATAATGGACATATGATTTTAGGATCTGATGACGAAATTATTAAAAACGCTTGTTCCGTCAAATATTCTGTTTTTGAATATCCAAACGGGATTTTTAAACAGTAATACATTAAGCTGTTATTTGATATTAAAAAACTTAGAACTAATTAAATGTATAGTTTACATTACGTTACCACAGTTGGTCATTCATACTTTTTTACATTTGTAAAAAAAATGTGTTACGAATGCCTAACCGCCGACTGCCTTGACAGGCTGTTTTGCAGTGTAGGAGTAGATTGGAAGAAAGCTAGGGGCGACCAGACCAAAACATGGCACAAATCCATGAAGTCACTGACAAGTGGACTGAGTCATGTTGGTAGATGTAGGCTACCTGGTTGGGATCCGCGAGACGAAAGTCACCAATGGTTAGAGACCTTGAACGACATGGCTCAAAATCGTTTGCAATGGCGCAAGTGAATCTATTCGTTGTGTTCTCTCATATCCTAATCTTCTGAATTCGTCAGCAGCTCTGCCTTTGTCTCTCTAACCTTATCTCACTGAATTATACTTCTTGAATAATATCTTCGAACCCTAGTCTTCTTCATTACCATCAATACCCCTACTATCTCTATCACTATGGGATTTGATTTGACATTTGCGTCTCTGTGATAATGTGGTATGATAACCTGAACTTATGTACATACGTACGGATTTCTACGTTGCAACTGACTGACTTTTTACATTTGTTATACTTGCTACCAACTTATGTCAATTAGTTACATGATACGATATATCTAAACAAATTTTCGCCGAGTGATTTTTTTGGAATCGTTGATTTCCATGTAGATAAACTGTTATCGTACTTGTAAACCTGTGCTTATTTACAATTAACTTATCTGTAATATCAACATTATTTTTTACGTATGTTACCAGTCGTAAAATATGGGCCGCTGACAAACAATCTTTAATCAACTCTGTTCTAGGCTTCCATTTCCAGTTGTTTTCACGTGCTGTTCATTCTTT